TTTTAAGAGTCTCTTATGTTTTTGTTCCCTCCCTCTCTAACCTCTTTTTTTTTTTCCTTCCCCTCCCCCATGGTCTTCTGTTAAGTTTCTCAGGATCCACATAGGAGTGAAAACATATGGTATCTGTCTTTCTCTGTATGACTTATTTCACTTAGCATAACAGTCTCCAGTTCCATCCACATTGCTACAAAAGGCCATATTTCATTCTTCTCATGGCCAAGCAGTACTCCATTGTGTATATAAACCACAATTTCTTTATCCATTCATCAGTTGATGGACATTTAGGTTCTTTCCATACTTTGTCTATTGCCAATAGTGCTGCTATAAACATTGGGGTGCATGTGCCCCTTACATCAGAAATTTTGTATCCTTAGGATAAATACATAGTAGTGCAATTGCTAGGTCATAGGGTAGATCTATTTTTAACTTTTTGAGGAAGCTCTATGCTGTTTTCCACAGTGGCTGCACCAGTTTGCTTTCCCACCAGCACTATAGCATTCTATTTTATGGTTATGTATTAATTTATAATTCTCCCATAGATGTTCATATAGGTAATTCCTATATTTCTGTTTCTATGGGGAGTAACTCCTGTTAGCATATTTGTATAAACATAAACATGGAAACAACATGCATTTTTAGGACTGGCTAAATGAATTATGGTCCATTCATAGCAATGGCTTTTAAATAGAAAAACTTTTTTAAAAATAAATATTTTTTAAAACTTTAAAAAATAGAATAGCATTTAAAAAGAATAGCTTTACATAAACTCTTAGAGACATTTTCCTTGAGATTTAAGGGGATACAAGATAAAAGCATTTTAATTTATATTTTACCCCATTTTTATAATCCAGCTATGTATATGAATCCTAGATGCTATCTCTTAGAACTCGTCCAAAGAGGAAAAAAACTATCCATTGATAAGTGATATTCATTAAATATTAATAATTTTTATCAATTCATTAATAAGATACAACAGCTTTTATAAAAGAGATAAAAGGAGTCCCCCTTCCTCCACAATATGCAGCTAAATCTCCTGTTACCATTTTAACTACCTCAAACTTACCTCACAGGCCACCTTGTTAACCAGGGTACTCTTCTCAGGAAGAGGATCTTCACTGGAACATGTCAGTAAGACTTAGAAATGGAGGTGACTGGCTGGCTTAGTCAGTAGAGCATGCAACTCCTGATCTTGGGGTTGTGAGTCTAAGCCCCACATTTGGGTGTAGAGATTATTATTATTAAAAATAAAAAAAATCTAAAAAATAAAAGAAATGGGTTTCCTGATTTTTTTTTTTTTTTTTGGTTTTCAAATTATTCATAATAAGAACTTGAAGAATAACAATTGGTTGATTACTCAAGCTATTCCACCTGGTAATGGAAACATACTATTACCATCCATAGATTCTATGATACTGGGTAGAAATTCCTGGGTAGAAATTAGTAGAGTCATAGATGGGGGCCTGTCTTAGTTTGGACTGCTCTAACAAAATACTACAGATTGAGTGGAATAAACAACAGAAATTTATTTCTCACGATTCTGAAGGCTGAGAAGTCTGAGATCAGTGTTCCAGTATGGTTGAGTTCTGGTGAAAGCCTTCTTCCTGGTTTGCAGATGGCTCTTTTCTTGCTGTATCCTCAAATGATGGAAAAGTAGAGAAAGTAAGCAGACTCTGTTGTCTCTTATATCTCATATGCCTACTGATTTAATTACCTCTCAGAGGCCCCACCTCCAAGTGTCATCATATTGGAGATTAGAGTTTGAACAGATGAATATTGGCCCATAGCAGGGCCTATTCTCCCTCTTGTGAAGTGTGATGGAAATAACAGTTTGTGTTCTTTATAATCCTTTACTATATCCAGGGCATAATTTTACATCACACCCTATGCTATTAGCAAATTAACCTTAAAAAGTCATATGGTAGGGGCACCTGTGTGGCTCAGTCAGTTGAGCATCCAACTCTTGATTTTGGCTCAGGTCATGATCTCACAGTTCATGGGTTTCAGTCCCGTGTCGAGCTCTGTGCTGACAGTGTGGAGCCTGCTTGGGATTCTCTCTCCCTTTCTCTCTGCTCTTCCCCTGCTTGCACGCTGTCTCTCTCAAATAAAGTTAAAAAAGGTGATATGGTATAATATTTTATGGAAACATTTTATGTTATTCTCCCTTGCCTATAAAAAATTCTAAATTTGATTCTTCAAAAGTTAACTTCTTTCAGTATACCCTTTGAATATTTAAGGAGTATTGATCCTCCTAAAGCAGTTTCTGATTTACTTGTTTTCTTTGTATATTTGACTTAGTTGGTTCCCATGATATATGTTGCACATTTCTACCTTTCCTATCTTTACTTCTGATGTTTGCTTGTCTTCCTACTAATTAAGGTCTGTCCCTTCCTTAAGACTCAGCTGATCTCTATCCTTCTCCTTTCTCTTCTCAGCTCCTAAACATTTATTATATTTCTCTATACCACTATTTTGACGTGTGGAATAGAAATAAATATAACTGATACTTAGGAACTGTGGAATGCTTCCATATTATTTAACATTATCCGTGTATATTTATTTTATGTTTGGTTTATCTAGCAGCACACTTAATGAAGGGACTGTCCTCTCTCATATGCTTTTTGTCACAAGATTGAAGAATCTTGTATTATTACCCTGAGAGTTCATTGATTATATGGATTCTCATTATGCTGGTTTCTTTTTAAGTAGCATTTTAGTTAAACTTTTCAGTTATTTGATTCAGGTGGAAAACTTAACAAGCTTGTTAGGGTCTTCCCATAGACCTTATTGATTTAGTGGCATCATCCAAAGCAGTTTTTTCTTAGAATCTTAGAGTCCTCTTATATGCAATGTTATAAGGAGTTCACACACACATTGACCTCAATCCAATTTTGTCACTTAATAGATGCATAGTTTTGATCATAGCTTTAACCTCTCTGAGGCTCAATTTATTTATTTGAAAATGGTAAGAATATCTTCTTTTTTGGTTATTTTGAAGATTAAAAGAATGTAAAGTAGCAAAGTGACATATTGGGTATTTAATAAAATGGAAACTATTTTTATCATAAGCATTTTGTTCTTTGGATACACTTGTGACTTTGCTGTGTCTTCATGTTTGTCTAGTTCTCACACATATAGCAGTGATTTATATCAGCGTAGAGGTATAAATTCAGCCATTTGTAATACCTTTGAATGTTTTCCCTTTTTTTCACAATAGAAACTGCTTGTTCACTGACTAACCGATTGAATGTCATGTTGAAAATGTTTGAAAAACAGTCACATATGTTGGAGAGGTAAGCTTTTAAAATAACTCCTTTTCCTAATTATGAAAATGAGTATACATTTATTTTAAAAAATTGGAAACAAGATTGTTAAAAAAGTTTGGTGTTCTTATATAAACTTTTATGATATGTATAATTTAAAAATTTTTAATTATAATCATGTAGAATTTCAAATTGTATAGCCACAATAGAAAACAGTATGTCAGTTTCTAAAAAAAAATTAAAGTACAATTACCCTATGATCCAGTAATTTCATTTCTAGATATATGCCCTGCAAAATTGAAATCAGGGTCTCAAAGATATTTATACACCCATGTTTACTGTAGCATTATTTACAATAGCAAAGGGTGGAAGCAACCCAAGTGTCCAACAGGTAAATAGATAAATAAAATGTGATATATACATACAATGGGATATTTTTTAGTCTTAAAAAGAAAGAAATTCTGACATATGGTACATGAATGAACCTTGAGGACATTATACTTAGTAAAATAACCCAGTCACAACAAGGCAAAGTTACATGATTTCACGTATATGAGGAACCAGGAATAGTCACTGTGGATTACCTATAGTTCTTTCAGGTGGCTAAGATTATATTAGTTACAAAATTGGTATGTTGAAAAAGCATGTCTTGTAGAATGAAATCACAAAGGAATTTTTTTTTTCAACCTTTATTTATTTTTTGGGACAGAGAGAGACAGAGCATGAACGGGGGAGGGGCAGAGAGAGAGGGAGACACAGAATCCAAACAGGCTCCAGGCTCTGAGCCATCAGCCCAGAGCCCGACACGGGGCTCGAACTCACGGACGCTTAACCGACTGCGCCACCCAGGCGCCCCACAAAGGAATTTTTATTTGGACACTTTGGGTTCATTTATATTTGCTAATTGGGGCTCATTTTCCTCCTGCTCCAGGACAAAAACTGAGGTAGGACCATGACTTTTTTGATCACTTTTAACTAATAATTAATTTAAATTTAATTTAGAAACACTGTACAAATTGGGAAATTAAAATTCTATGTCAAATATTACAGTCAATATTTTAATTTTTATTCAAAGTTAAGACTTTTCTCCCTTTCCCCTCACCCAGTATCCCAGCTGGTGCCTCCTTGAGGTTATGATTAGCTTTTCTTTTTCATTACCTCCTTTCTGACTAACTAATTACAGTTTCTGTTCTCCATGTGTTTGGGAAGAGAGGAAATAAAGGTAACGTATACAGGAAAAGTCTTACTTGACTGTCACTGCCTTCTTTTGCCATAATTACAGATAACACATACCAAATTTTCTAAGCATTCTTCTTATAGTGCCTCTCACTAGGCTTGAGATCAGGGCAAACATATTCTCCTCTCAAGGGTTTGGATATGGCTCAAGACACCCAATAGCTACCTGCAGAGAAATACCCTTTCTAAATCTTCTTTCCTAACCCTTTTATATTGTCTACATCAGTGAAAGGTTTTAGTGTACTTTCTTGGCTGCCAACTTTTTTAAAGTGCAAATGGTCATCTGCCTCACCTATTACTATTACTGGGAGTTTAGGATCTCTGTAAATGCTTCCTTTAACAACTTGTTACAGTCACATCCTTGAAAATTCTGTTAAATATAGGGTGTGGCAAAAGTCTTAGCATAGTTTTAAATTTTAATAACTTCAGAACTATAATGATACAATTGTTCAAAAAACATTTTGAAATTTGATTATATATGTTTCTTTCACACTTATTTAAAAATTCTGAATAATAAACTTTTTTTTTCAGTTAAATTTTTTTGTTTAGGTCCGCATTTTCCATATTCAGAGGGACTGCAACAAATTAATTTATTGTTCAAAGTTCACAAAACTAAGTATATTAAAGAAATGGAAATAATTAAACTTTCAAAGGTTTAATTTTTTTTGTAAGTCTGTAGCATTTATATTTCTGAGATCATTGAAGCTAAAACTATACTAAAACTTTTAGAACATTCTCTGTTGAACTTCTACCATGTGACTGAGTGCTTGGGACAAAATCCCTACTCAGAGCAAAAGACTTACTGAACCTCACAACAGCACTATGGCTCAATCTCAGAAACAGTTATAAACCAGACCGTGAACACTTTGAAGATACTGTTTTTTCCTCTTAACATGAGCTTCATTTTCTTCTAGTGCATATCTCTTGTTTCTTTCTATTTTCTTTTTTGTTTATTTTTTGCCTATAGGTGGGAATCCATGATTGCTGGCAATTCCTAAGGTTTAGTCTTTCAGTCACTCTGAAAGATAGTATTTGGATTTTCCAAATCTAAAAGTCCTAGGTGAGAAAATCATTGGTGCAACTTGGAGACAGGTTCCTATTTCTGAACTGACCAATCAACTGTAGCTAAAGACTTATGGTCCTATGAGCTCTCTCAGAAATTATATTGATTCAGAGGGGTATATTGATTCTGGTAGTTCCCAGAAAACAGAGGCGGGGGCTACTGAGGTGCTCAGTGATGAGCATGTTAATATAGGATAACATAGGAAAAAGGAGTGTACTTCATTATTGTGTGTGAATTATACACTAGCATGACAGGGCAATTATCCTGGTCTTTTGGGAAGCTAATAGACTTATTCTTCAGGGTCTGGTCACTTCACTATCTAGGTGTTGGTCTGTGGATATTGGGAAGGGGAAAAGCAAGCATAGACCCAGTGGACCTTGAAAAGTTCTTTCTTCAATTATGGGAAAAATTGGGATTCCAATTAGAGATTGGATAATAGGACGGTTTGTGAAGGCATAATACCTCTTTGGTGAACAGAGTGCTGAGAGCTGGTGTCCAGTGTTGCGGATGTCAACATTGGTGAGAACATTGCCCATCGCCAAGATCATGTGTGGTCCTGAAGGCAAATAGGCCCATTAAGAAATCCATCATGAGGTTTTCTTTCTAATGAGACATAGGGGTCAGAAGTAAGGGTAGTAGCCTGTCTTGCTTTTCAAGCTGTAGCCCCGTACATGTATCACAGGTAGTTGTAGTTATATCAAAGGAGGAGGAGTCATAGTGTCCAGGCAGAGCACTGGCAAGGTAAAAGTATCCATTTGGCCCAAACATAATGACAGCTTTTTTCTTCACACCTTCAAAAAACTGAATCTAATGTTGATTACAGCCCTAAATGTAAGAAAACAAAACCGTACATATAGGGAAGGCATTTTACTCTATCAAAATTAAAAACATCTTATTCAAAAGGAATCAAAGTTAAAAGATAAGCAGTGAACTGTGAGAAAATATTTGTGCATGTACAATAGAGTGGAGTGATAATAGGAATATATAATTCTTAAAAAAGGCAAAAAACCCTAAAAAATAGGCAAAGCAGGGGCACCTGGGGTGGCTCAGTCGTTAAGCCTTGGACTCTGGTTTCTGCTCATGGTTTCATGGGTTCGAGCCCCACATTGGACTCTGTGTTGATGGTGTGGAACTTGCTTGGGATTTTCTCTCTCTCCCTGTGTCTCTGCCCCTCCCCCACTCATGGTGTCTCTCTCTTTCTCTCAAAATAAATAACCTTAAAAAAAATAGGCAAAGCTTATAGATAATTTAAGGAAGAAACAAACAAAAAAAAAGTGGCCAATAAATGTTTTAGGGGATACTCAGTCTGACTTGTGATTAATGAAATACAAAGCAAAACAGCAGTGATGTATTTTTTTTGCCATTGGTTTAACAACAAGTAAACATTTTCCTATAGCAAATCTTGATGGAGATGTAGTACAATGAATACTTTTAAAAAATCAGTACAATAGGAATTGCCCATTTTCCAGGACAATTTAGCAAAATTTACTTAAAAAATAGAGTTTTAAATCTATCTTAGATAAAGGAATATGTTCAAGGAGACATATGTAAAAAGGAACTTATCATATGCTTGTGACAATAGCAAAAAAATAGAATTCCAATTTTTGTTAGTAGGAGTATGGCCCAATAATCTATGATAAAAGGATTATATGAGAATACTATAAACAACTGTATGACAACAAATTAAATAACTTACATGATATGGACAAATTTCTAGAAGGACACAAACTAAATTGATTCAAGAAGAACTTGAAAATCTGAATGGAACTTTAACAAGTGAAAAGAATTAATTAGTACTTAATTTAGTTTCCACCAAGAAATGCTCAAGCCAAAGGGCTTCAGTGGTGAATACTAGCAAATATTTAAAGAAGAATTAATACCATCCCTTCACAAGCTTTTCCAAAAAGTAGAAGAGGAGTTAACACTTAACTTATTTTGTGAGACAAGAATGTTATTATATTCTAATTACTAGAGTATTACTGTAACATCAAAATCAGACAATACTATCACAAGAAAATAAAACTGTAGACCAATATGTTGTGAATATGAATGCCAAAGTTCTCAGCAAAACACTAGCAAATTGAATCCAGTATTATATAAAATGGATTACACACCACAAGCAAGTAGAATTTATCCCAGGAATGTAAAGTTGGTTTTAAATGCCAATATCAATTAATGTAATACCGAATACTGATTGGATGAAGGAGAAAAAAGATCACATGATCAGCTTACTAGACAAAGTAAAAGCATTTGACAAAATCCAAGCATTTCATGATAGGAATACTTCACAAACTAGGAACAGAAGAGTGCTTCCTTAATCTGATCTAGGCTAACTACTACCAAAACCCATAGCTAACACTATACTTAATGGTGAAGAACTTAATAAATTCTAAGATCAGGAACAAGACAGGACATCTCACCACATCTATTCATCATTGTAGTACAAGTTCTATCCAGGGCAATTAGAGAAGACAAGGAGTGAAAGGTGTTCATATCGGGAAGGAAGAAGTAAAACTCCTTTTTGTAGATGTCATGATCTTGTGTATAGAAAATCTTAAGGGATCTGCTAAAAACGATTTGAAGAAACAAATGAATTCATCTTTTGCATTACACCAGATTCATAAATAAAAATCAATTGTATATCTATATACTAACTGTTATGGGTTGAATTGCTCCCCCCGCCAAAATTATGTTGAAGCTCTAACTCCCAGCACCTCATATTGATTTAATTAATTAATTAATTAATTTTTAAAGTTTATTTAGTTTTGAGAGAGAGACAGAGAGAGTTAGCAGGGGAGGGTCAGAGAGAGGGAGAGAGAGAATCCCAAGCAGGCTCCACACTATCAGCACAGAACCTGACGTGGAGTTGAAACTCACCAACTGTGAGATCATGACCTGAGCTGAAACCAAGAGTAGGACGCTCAACTGACTGAGCCACCAGGGTACCCCTGAACTTATTTTTAAATAGGGTCATTGTAGACATAATTAGTTAAGATGAGGTCATACTGGGGTAGGATGGGCCCTTAATCCAATATGACTGGTATCCTTGTAATAATTGGAGAAGACAGTATAGAAAGAGGGAAGAAGTTACGGAGGCAGAGATTGGATTTGTGCTACTACGATCCGGAGAATACCAGGCACTACTAGGAGTTGAAAGAGGCAAACAAGGATTCTCCTCTAGAGGTTCTAGAAGGAGCATGGCCCTAAGAACTGAATTTTAGATTTGTAGTCTCCAGAACTGTGAGAGCATAAAATATTTGTAGTTTTAAGTTACCCAGATTGTGATACTTTGTTACAGCAGCCCCAGGAATCAATGTAATACACTAAAGATGAACATTCCAAAAGTGAAATTAAAAAAAAATCCATTTAAAATACCACCAAAGACAACAAGACTGAATTTAACAAAAGAAGTGTAAGACTTGTGCACTGAAAACTACAAAACATCATTGAAAGAACTTAAAGAAGACCTAGTTAAATGGATAGACATTCCATTTTCATGGACTGTTAGACTTAATAATCTTAAAATGGCAGTGTTCCCCAAACTGATCTAGAGATTCAATGCAATCTCTTTCAAAATGCCAGCTTTCTTATTGCATGAACTGACAAGCTGATCCTAAAATTCATGTGGAAATACAAGGAATCCAGAAGAACCAAAGAAATCTTAAGAAGAACAAAGTTGAAGGATTCACATTTAACTAATTTTAAAACTTAATACAGGGCTGTAGTAATCAAGACAATGTGGTACTGGCATAAAGTTATATCTACATACATCAATGGAATAAACTTGAATGTCCAGAAATAAACCCTTACATTTATGGTCAATTAATTTTTTAATAGTCTTTTAAAAATATTTTAATTTTATTTTTTTATTCAAGTATAATAAAAATACAGTGTTATATTAGTTTCAGGTGTACAATATAATGATTCAGTAATTCTATACATTACTCGGGGTACTCTTAATCCCCTTTATTTCAGCCATTTACCCACCCACCTCCTCTCTGGTAACCACCAGTTTATTCTCTATATTTAGGGGTTTGTTTCTTGGTTTGTTTCTTTCTCTTTTTTCCCTTTGTTTATTTATTTTGTTTCTTAAATTCCACATGAGTAAAATCATATGGTATCTGTCTTTGACTTTCACTTAACACTGTACCTTCTAGATCCATGTTGTTGCAAATGGCAGGATTTCATTCTTTATATGGCTGAATAATCCACTGTATGTGTGTATATGTACATATACAAATGTCTTCTTTATCAATTTATCTATTGATAGAGACTTTGCTACTTTCATAGTTTGGCTATTGTAAATAATGCTGCAATAAATATAGGGGTGCATCTACTATTCAAATTAGTATTTGTGTATTCTTTGGTTAAATACCCAGTAGTGTAATTACTGGATTGTAAGATAGCTCTATTTTTAATTTTTTGAGGAATCTCCATACTGTTTTCCACAGTGGCTACATCAGCTTGCATTCCACCAAAAGTACACAAGGGTTTTTTTTTTCTCTACATCCTCATCAGCACTTGTTATTTCTTGTGGTTTTGATTTTAGCCATTCTAACAGATGTGAGGTGATATCTAATCGTGGTTTTGATTTCCATTTCCCTGATGATTAGTGATGTTGAACATCTTTTCATGTGTCAGTTTTCTATGCTTATGTCTTTGGAAAAATGTCATTCATGTACTTTGCCCATTTTAAAATCAGATTATATATTTTTTGGTGTTGACTTGTATAAGTTCTTTATATGTTTTGAATATTAATCCTTTATTGGATATATCATTTGTGGAAAGGATAGTCTTTTTAATAATTGGTACTTGGGCAACTGGATATCTATATGCAAAAGAGCCTTTTAGAAGAAACACAGGAATAAATCTTTGTGACGTTGAGTAATGTAATGGTTTTTTAAATAGGACACCAAAAGTACAACCAAAAAATGAGAAGAAAATAGGTAAGTTGACTTTCATAAAATTAAAAACCTTTGTACTGCAAATGATACATTAAGCATATGAAAAGACAACACCTAGAATGTGAAAACTATTCGCAAATCATATATTTGATAAGGAACTTGTATCCAGAGTATATAAAGAATTCTTATACCTGCATAATAAGAAGATAAATAACACAATTTAAAAATGGACAAATAATCTGAAAAGACATTTTATGAAGCAAGATATACTAATGGCTGATAAGCACATGAAGTGATGCTGAACATCATTAGCCTTTAGGGAATTTCAAATAAAAATTACAATGATATACCACTTCACATCGATTAGGATGGCTGTAATAAAAAAAGATGACAATAACAATTGTTGGCAAGGATTTAGAGAAATTGGGACCCTTATACGTTGCTGGTGGGAATTGAAGTGGTGTGTCTGCTATGGAAACCAGTTTGTCAGTTCCTTAAAATGTTAAATACAATGTCAATATATGACCCAGCAATTCTGTTCCTAGGTTTATACCTGAGAGATGGAAAACATATGTACAAGCAAAAACTTGTACATGGATGTTCATAGTAGCATTATTCATAATAGCCCCAAAGTGGAAATAATCTAAATGCCTATATGGATTATGGATAAATCAAATGTGTACAATGGAATAATATTTGGCAATACCAAGGAACATAGTACTGATATATGCTACAACATGGATGAATCTTGAAAACAGTACAGTAAGTGTAATAAACCAGTTTCAAAAGACCACATATAATTTTATTTGTATGAAATATCCAGAATAGACAAATCTATAGATATAGGAAATTAGATTAGTGCCTGCCAGGTTTGGGGACAGTGTTGGGAAGAATAGGGAGTGACTGCTAATTGGTACAGGGTTTCTTTTTGAGGTAATCAAAATGTTCTAAAATTAAATAGTGGTAATAGTTGCTCAACTTGGTGAATATATGAAAAACCATTGAGTTGTATACTTTAAATGAGTGAATTGTATGTTATGTTAATTATATCTTAAAGCTTTAAAAAATTTGGATTATAATAAGTAACTCATTTGTCCAAAATAAAAATCTATAGTTTACCCATACCTTGGAACAGTTTTTGGCAAACTTCAGCCCATGAGTCAAATCTAGCCAAGTCCTTTCATTTACCTATCATTTATGCCTGGTTTTGCAGAGTTGGGCAGTGGTGACAGTTCATCTGGCCTGTAAAGTCTAAAATATTTACTATCTGGCTCTTTATAGAAAAAGTTTGCTAAATCCTGCTATGGAATAAGAAGTGGTACTTAGAAGGAGTGAGATACATCTATGTTTACCAATATAAATAGATCTCAGACATTGTGTGAAGTGAAAATAATAAGTTTAGGACAATATATACATTGCTGTAATTTACATGAAAAAGAAAACAAGGCAGTCACCCAACCTACTAACAAAAATTATAGAATCAAATAGATATATGTAGTATTATATAAATGTATTGAACAGGTTCTGAAAAGATACACAGCAATCTAATAATATCTCTAGAGAGAGCACTGGATTTTTGGAATAATGGTCAAAGTGTATTCTAACATTATTTACATTATTTTAAATTTTTTCAAAGAAAATATATAAGTATGTTACATAAATAAAAATATGAATATAAAATGATAATACATTACAGATATTTTTGGTTTGTTTTTCAGAGCTGTGAATGATCAAGGTTTGTTAGAGGATGTAAGTATAGCACTCTCAGTTTGAAATTGCACTCTGCCTGTGAAAATATTAGTAGAGTCTAGAAATTGTCAGGATGCATAATCTTCAATAAAGGTTTAGTGCTTCCTAAGTTTATTCAAGAAATTTCTATGTATATGTGAGCTGGAAAGCTTTGTCTTTTTTTATTTTACTAGACTTTATTGTCACTCAAAAACACTTCACTTCTAAAATATTGAACTATAATACCCCATGTTCTTCTACATTTCCATTTATTGTTACTTCTAGCTCCTTTGCCTCTTTCAGCCCCAATTGTAGTTCATTATGCAGATTAATATCAATGGTTCATTATTTTTTTTTCTTAAAATTTTTTTTTTCAACGTTTATTTATTTTTGGGACAGAGAGAGACAGAGCATGAACGGGGGAGGGGCAGAGAGAGAGGGAGACACAGAATCGGAAACAGGCTTCAGGCTCCGAGCCATCAGCCCAGAGCCTGACGCGGGGCTCGAACTCACGGACCTCGAGATCGTGACCTGGCTGAAGTCGGACGCTTAACCGACTGCGCCACCCAGGCGCCCCAATGGTTCATTATTTCATGAGTTCATGGAGACTTTCTTACTTTAATAATTAAGTGCCCAAATAGCTTCTCTGTGATGAAACATATGATTTTCTTTTTAAAAAATATTTATTTATTTTTGAGAGGGAGGGGGAGAGAGAGAGAGAGTCATTGTCATTTGGAGAGAGAGAGAGAGACAGAGAGTCCAAAGCAGGCTCTGCATTGTCAGCACAGAGTCCAACATGGGGCTCGAACTCAGGAACAGTGAGATCATGACCTGAGCTGAAGTCTGGCACTCAACCTACTGAGCCACCCAGGTGCCCCTGTATGATTTTCATTATTACTAAAATTATATTCTTTGTTTTTAGAAATACAAAGAAATGCAAAGTAATTTCCAAGTGTTATTAGAGGAGAAATTGGTGCTGGAAAATGAACTACAAAAGTTGAAGACTACAGAGGTTAGTTCAATTTTAGTGTCTGAAAATGGAAGAATACCTAAAAAGCCTTATTATTGTAGGACAGACGTCAAAGATATATTTAAATGTTTTATAACACATTTTTGATATTAATTATAGATAATAGCTATGCTGTGAAAGTAAAATAACGCTATTTTCTAAATTACCATATTAGCTATTAAAACCAGATACTATGAAAAACAGACATAAAATTTAAACATTCCACAAGACATTTCTAGGCCAAATATTTATTTATTAAAATATCAACAAATTAGATTTTTCAAATATATTTTATTTTTTAAAGGTTTTTAAAAATTCTAGTTATTTAACATAAAGTATATTAGTTAAGATGTACAATTTAGTGATTTAACCCTTACATGCAACACCTGGTGCTGATCACAAGTGCGCTCAGTCCTCATCACCTATTTAACTTGTCCTGTACGCACCTCCTCTTTGGTAACCATCAATTTGTTCTTTATAGTTAAGAGTCTGTTTCTTAGTTTTCCTCTCTCTGTTTTAACCCATGATCCTTTGTTTTGTTTCTTAAGTTCCACATATGAGTGAAATCCTATGGTATTTTTCTTTCTCTGACTGACTTATTTTGCTTAGCATAATACTGTCTTGTTGCAAATGGCAAGAATTCATTCTTTTTTAATGGCTGAGTAATATTGCACTGTATATATCTATATATCTATATCTCTATATCTATATCTATATCTATATCTATATCTATATATCTATATCTATCTATATCTATATCATCATCTATATCATCATCTATATCTATATCTATCTAGATATAGATATACATATACATATAGATATGCTATATATAGATATGGGGTGTGTGTGTATATATATATGTATATATATGTGTATGCATATGTATATGTATATATATGTGTATATATATATATATATATATATATATATGCACACACACACACACACACACACACACACACCCCATATCTTCCTTATTCATTCATCAGTCAGTGGACATTTGGGCTCTTTCCATAATTTGGCTCTTGGTTGATGATAGAGGTGCATGTATCCCTTTGAATTCCTATTTTCATATTCTCTGGATAAATATCTAGTAGTGTAAATAGTGGATCATAGGGTAGTTTTATTTTTAACTTTTGAGGAACCTCCATGCTGTTTTCCAGAGTGGCTGCACCAGTTTGCATTCCCACCAACAATGCAAGAGGGTTCTCCTTTCTCTGCATCCTCACCAACACCTGTTGTTTCTTATGTTGTTAATTTTAGCCATTCTGACAGATATGAGGTGGTACCTCATTGTAATTTTGATTTCTATTTCCCTGATGATGAGGGATGTTGAGCATCTTTTCATGTGTCTGCTGGCCATCTGGATGTCTTCTTTGGAAAATGTCTATGTCTTCTGCCCATATTTTAACTGGATTATTTATTTTGGCTATTGAGTTTTATAAGTTCTTTATACATTTTGGCTACTAAGCCTTTATCAGGTATATCATTTGCAAATATTTTGTTCCATTCTGTAAATTGCCTTTTAGTTTTGTTGATTGTCTCCATCACTGTGCAGAAGCTTTTTATCTTGATGAAGGCCCAGTAGTTTATTTTTGTTTTTGTTTCTGTTGTCTCAGGTGATGTGTGTACTAAGACCTTGCTACGGGTGAGGTCAAGGAGGGTCCTGCTTGTGTCTCCTCCAAGACTTTGTTTCCTTTCTCATATTTAGATCTTTCATCCATTTTGAATTTTTGTGTATAGTGTAAGAATGTGATCCAGTTTCATTCTTCTGCATGTCACTGTCCAGTTTTCCCAACACCATTTGTTTTCTCCTCTAGGATTTTAATGGTTTCCTGTCTCACATTTAGGTCTTTCATCCATTTTCAATTTATTTTTGTGTATGGTGTTAGAAAGTGGTCCATTCTTACAGCACCATTTGCTGAAGAGACTATCTTTTTTCCCATTGATTATTCTTTTCTGCTTTGTCAAAGATTAGTTGACCATACAGTTGTGGGTCCATTGTGGGTTTTCTATTCTGTTCCATTGACCTATGTGTCTGTTTTTGTGCCAGTACCATAATGTCTTGATGATTACAGCTTTGTAGTACAGCTTTAAGTCTGGAATTGTGATGCCTCCCACTTTGCTTTTTCTTTCTTTCTTTTCTTTTTTTTCTCTTTGCAACATTACTTTGGATGGTTGGGGTCTTTTGCGGTTCCATACAAGTTTTAGAATTGTTTGTTTTAGCACTGTGAAAAATGTTGTTGGTACTTTGATAGGGATTGCATTAAATGTGTAGATTGCTTTGGATAGTATGGACATTTTAACAATGTTTGTTCTTCCAGTGCATGAGCATGGAATATTTTTTCATTTCTTTGTGTCTTCAGTTTCTTTCACAAGTGTTCCTTAATTTTCAGAGTACAGATCTTTTGCTTCTTTGCTTAGGTTTATTAATGGGTATCTTATGGGTTTTGGTGCAATTGTAAATGGGATCAATTTCTCGATTTCTGTTTCTGTTGCTTCATTACTGGTGTACAGAAATGCAACTGATTTCTGTACATTGATTTTGTATCCTGCAACTTTGCTGAATTCATGTATTAGTTCTAGCAATTTTTTGGTGGAGTCTTTCAGGTTTTCTGCATAGAGTATCGTGTCATCTGCTAAGAGTGGAAGTTTGACTTCTTCCTAGCCAATTCGGATGTCTTTTCTTCTTTATGAAAATGAGGCGAGGACATCCAGTACTATGTTGAACAGTGTTGAGAGTGGACATCCCTGTCATGTTACTGAACTTAGGGGGAAATCTCTCAGTTTTTCCCCATTGAGATGATATTAGTGGTGGGTCTTTCATATATGGCCTTTATGATGTTGAAGTATGTTCCTTCTATCCCTACTTTCTTGAGGGCTTTTATCAAGAATAGATTCTTTATTTTGTCAAATGCTTTTTCTGCATCTATTGAGAAGATTATATGGTTCTTATCCTTTCTGTTATTAATGTGATGTATCATGTTGAGTGATTTACAAATATTGAACCAGCCCTGCAGCCCTGGAATAAATCCCACTTGATCATGGTGAATGATGCTTTGTATGTGCTGTTGTATTTGATTTACTAGTATCTTTTTGAGAATTTTTGCATCTGTGTTCAGCAGGGATATTGGCCTGTAATTCTCCTTTTCAGTGGGGTCTTTGCATGGTTTTGGAATGAAGGTAGTGCCTGCCTAATATAATGAGTTTGGAAGTTTGCCTTCCGTTTCTATTTTTTGGAACAGTTTGAGAAAAATAGGCATTAACTCTTTAACTGTTTGATAGAATTCCCCTGGGAAGCCATCTGGCCCTGGACTCTTGTTCATTGGGAGATTTTTGATTACTAATTCAATTTCTTTGCTTGTTATGGGTCTTTTCAAATTTTATATTTCTTCCTGTTTCAGTTTTGGTAGTTTATATGTTTCTAGGAATTTTATCCATTTTCTTCCAGATTGCCTAATTTGTTGGCATATAATTTTTCATAATCTCTTTTAATTGTTTGTACTTCTGTGGTGTTTGGTCATGATGTCTCTTTCTTTTGAGGTTTTATTTATTTGGGTCCTTTCTCCCCCCCTCCCTCTCTCTCTCTCTCGCTTTTTAATAAGTCTGCCTAGGGATTTATTGATTTTGTTAATTCTTTCAAAGAACTAGCTCCCAGTTTTGTTGATCTGTTCTAATGTTTTTTTTTTTAATTTCTATTTCATTTATTTCTGCTCTAATCTTTATTATTTACCTTTTTCTGTTTGTTTTAGGCTTTATTTGCTGCTCTTTTTCCAGCTCCTTTAGGTGTAAGGTTAGATTGTGTATTTGAGACTTTTCTTGCTTTTTGGGTAAGAGCTGTATTGCTATATTCTCCCCTGTTAATGACCACCTTTGCTGCATCCTGGAGGTTTTGGACTGTTGTGTTTTCATTTCCATTGCTTCCATGCATTTTTTTTTTTTAATTTTTTTTTTCAATGTTTATTTATTTTTGGGACAGAGAGAGACAGAGCATGAACGGGGGAGGGGCAGAGAGAGAGGGAGACACAGAATCGGAAACAGGCTCCAGGCTCCGAGCCATCAGCCCAAAGCCTGACGCGGGGCTTGAACTCACGGACCGCGAGATCGTGACCTGGCTGAAGTCGGACGCTTAACCGACTGCGCCACCCAGGCGCCCCTTCCATGCATTTTTTAATTTCTTCTTTAATGTTTTATTTTTTTATTTGAGAGAGAGATAGATAGGGAGGTAGTGAGCGAGCTGGAGCAGGGGAGGGGCAGAGAGAGATGGGGCAGAATATTTGAAGTGGGCTCTGTGCTGACTGACAGCAGAGAGCCTGATGTAGGTCTCAAACTCATGAACCATAAGATCATGTCCTGAGCTGAAGTTGGGTGCTTAACTGACTGAGCCTCCTGGCACCCCTATTTCTTCTTTAATTTCCTGGTTAGCCCATTCATTCTTTAGTAGAATGTTCTTCAACCTCCATGTGTTTGTGGTCTTTCCAAAATTTTTCCTGTGGTTGATATCAAGTTTCATAGCATTGTGCAGTCTGAAGATACCCATGGTAGGATCTCAAAATTTTCTACTGGTTGAGGGCTGACATGTGACCCAGTATGTGATCAATTCTGGAGAATGTTCTGTGTACACTTTAAAAGAATTTGTATTCTTCTGCTTTAGGATGAAATACTCTGAATATATCTTTTAAGTCTATCTTGTCCAGTATGCCATTCAAAGCCATTGTTTCCTTGTTGGTATTCTGCTTACATGATCTGTCTATTGTTGTAGGTGTGTTGTTAAAGTCCCCTACTATTCTTGTATTATTATCAATGAGTTTCTTTAAGTGTTTTTTTACTAATATACTTGGCTGATTTCAAGTTGGGAGCATAAATATTTAAAATTGGTATATCTTTTTGTTGGATAGACTCCTTTATTATAATGTAGTGCCCTTCTTCATCTCTTATTACAGTCTTTGGTTTAAAATTGAGTTTGATATAAGTATGGCTACTCCACCTTTCTTTTGAAATCCATTAGCAAGAAAAATGGTTCTCTGTACCCTCACTTTCAATCTGGAAATGTCTTTGGTTCTAAAATGAGTCTCTTGTAAGCAGCATATTGATAGGTATTATTTTTGTATCCATTCTTATACCTTATGTCTTTGATTGGAGCATTTAGTCCATTTGCATTCAGTCATTATTGGTAGGTATGAATTTAGTGCCATTGTAAAGTCAGTATTCCTATAGATTGTCTCTGTTCCTTTCTAGTCTTTGTTGCTTTTGGTCTCTCTTTCCTACTCAAAGAGTCCCTTTTAACATTTCATGTAGAGCTGGTTTAGCGTTCACAAAACTCCTTTAGTTTTTGCTTGTCTTGGAAAATCTTTATCTCTCCTTTTATTCTGAATGACAGCCTTGCTGTATAAAGTATAAATGTTTCAGATTTTTATGCTATTTTAATTGCTATCCATTAAAAAATATTTTTAAACTGTCATTAGAGAAGTGTAATAAATTTTGTTTACTTAATTTTGTATCCAAAGTATATGTGACTAATAATAGCCTAAATTTTCTTGCTTTCCAATTGTAATACTGTTTCTTTTTCTTGCCTGGCTAAACTAGCAAAGACCTCTAGAATGATATTGAATAGACATGATGAGAGTAGGTATTTTTCCATTTGTTCCTGATTTTAAAAGGAAATATTCTTGTTTCTATGGTCATTCAGCCTGCTCTTTCTTTCTCTTTCAATATTGTTTATCAGGTTAAAATATTTTTCTTCTTTTCATAATTTGCTAAATATTTTTTTCATGCTCTATAAAATTCTTTCAGCCTCTGCCTACTTCCCAATTCTGAAACCACTTCTACATTTTTAGTTATATGTTACAATAGCACCACACTTCCAGGTAACAAAATCTTTATTACTTTTTAATTTGCTGCTCAATTGCTTGCTTTATAGTAAAGGGTTTACAGTCTTGTTTTAAAACTTTACTTAAGAACCTTTAAGACTGTACTTAAGAACCTTAAGATAATGTGCTTTGTCCTTTTCCAGCCTGAGTACCACTATTTTCATACATTTTACTATCTATGGTATAAGCTGCACAACACATTGTTATTAGTTTAGCTGTAAACTATTACCTTTTAAAGAGATTTAAATAATAAGGAAAACAGTCTTTATATTTATTTACTCATTTAATTATCATTTATGTTGGTCTTTAATTTGTATATTTCCTTATTTCTGTCTAGTGTCATTTTTCTTGTGCTTAAAGGATTCTTCATAATTTTTGTTATTGTTGTTCAGGTCTGCAGCTGATTCATTCTTTCAACTTTTTGATTTCTGAAAAAACTTTTTTTTTTTTTATTCAGTTTTAAAACATATTTTCTCTGGACAAAGAATTCTAGGTTGGCTGGTTCTTTTCTTCTAGTACTTTAAAGAGTTTCTTTTTTATCTTCTGGCTTGCATTGTTTCTGAAAAGTCTGCTGTCCACTTTATTTTATATAGAATCTACTTTCCTCCTCTGCTTTTAAGATTTTATCCTCATCATTGCTTATAATTTTATTATCATATGTCTTAGAACTAGTTTTCCTTATATTTTTTGTGGGTTTGTGAGCATAAAGTTTTGTCAAATTTGAAAGTCAAATTTGTCCATTGTTTCTTCAAATATTTATTTTCTTTGCTCACTTCTTCTCTCCATTATGTACTGAAATTACAAGTATATTTGTCCACTTGAAGTTTTCTCACAACTAACTGATGATCTGTTCATTACTTTTAGTCTTTTTTCCTTTCATTTTTAAAGTATTTTTGATGGCCAATGTATATTAGATTTTTCTGTATAAGAAATACATCCCAAAACTCATATTTAAACTAGAAAGTTACCTGGAGACCTTAAGAATTCCATTGCAATTCATTATTATACTGGTTTTTTCATATTTTATGAGGATTATTACACTTTGTGTTTAACTTGTGAGAACTTTGCCACTATAGTGAAGTTGTATCTTTTGGGAGTTGTTGTATAAAACAGGAAATAAACACCTAATGCCTTAATAGGTCTCTATTATTAAGCTCATCTACAAATTTCAGTAATCTAATTGTTAATTTTTTTCTCAACTTTCTTGTATAAAATAATCTAGTACTACATAGTCATTCAATAATACTTTAAAATATGTGGTTGGTTCTGCTGTAATATTTGTTTTGAAATGCAAATTTGTTCTAACAAACAATTTGAACATAATATGAATTTTACATGTGTTTATGCACAAATTCATCTGCTAAAAGTACTAGGTAAAAGGAGAAAGCAGACTCTGCACACTGTATTCGTTAACCATGTTTGTAGTGTACCACACCAGTCCACATCTGTCACTACAACTTTTTATGTGATTTCAGATAATCCTTCTTCCCAAACTACACGATAACAATTTGCAACCTATTCGATGATCACTTCCACAAACACACCTCATGTCTTTCTCAAAATAAAGAACTATATTTCTCATACTATGTGTTTCTCAAATCATCTAACTTTGTAAAATGGAACTGTTTTTATTAGGTTTCTATTTTTAAAAAATGTATCATTGACAATGTTTGTTGCATGCTGGGCACCTTACCTCATTTCTCTCATATATCCTGCAGTTTTTAGTGCATGAGTTTTCATAGATGATTTTCAGGAAGATATGTATATATTAGAGAAGACCTGGCTGTAATTTGTCAGGGGAATTTACTTCTTTTGATATGTATTAACTTATATATAACTTACATTCAGTAGAGTACCATAACAAGCATTCTGATTGTATCCTTAATTTTGTTGTGCTTCTTTTTAGATAATTTTTCTTGAAACATAGTATAGTGATTCTCAAAGTAAAATGGAAATCTTAGTAATGCATATTATCTTTTACTTCCCTCTAATTATTGTCTCATTAACTGTTTGTTTCTGGCTTATATAAAATTGCACAGAAAGCAAAGTCTACATATGATCGAACAAAGAAAACTATAAAAATGGAGAAGAAAAAAGACAAAAGAAAATCTGAGGATACAGAAGAGTAAGATATAAAGCTACATGTTTATATTTTTTCCTTGTTAATTTACATTTTCATTTTATACAAACAATTTGAGATCATATAAACATAACTTTTAACAGGTTTCTAAAAAATGTAACACTACGTAATACCATAGTTTTATAAGCAGACCAGGATATGATGGAGGAAGAGAGCTGGGAAAGGAAGAACAAAGAATAAAAGTAGGTTAGGAGAATGAACCAAATAGTCAGGAATAAGTAAACAGAATTAAATCTGTAAATCATTTTAGGGACAGAGGATTTACATTATTTCCTTGATGGTTTAGCTAGTGATTTGTGATTTGTATATTAACTCCTCAGTCTGGGCTATTCTTTTTTTTTTTTTTTTTTTTTTTTTTTTTTTTTTTTTTTTTTTGATTATACTTATTTTGTGAAAGGAATCATCTATTTTTTATGCATGTGGATTATTGTAAAGTGGCCTTTTTAAGTGAATATCTCTTTAGTAATATAAATTTTTTTTTGCATTTTGAATTTGCTTTAGTCAAACCCTAATACGGGGTGCCTGGGTGGCTCAGTTGGTTAAGTGTCCCACTTCCGCTCAGGTCATGATCTCACGGTTCATGAGTTTGAGCTCTGCATCGAATTCTGTGTTGACAACTGAGAGCCTGGAGCCTGCTTCATATTTGGTGTCTCCCTCTCTCTCTGCCCCTCCCTCACTCATGCTCTGTCTCTCTTTCTCTCTCAAAAATAAATAAACATTTAAAAACCCCTAATATAAATACATAATTTTAAAAGAAACTGTGAATTCAATCTTTATAGAGTTCTATAAATTCTGAAAAGAAATTCATTGGATAAGTAACCTTGACCTTTGTCTCAGAGAGGAAAAGATGACTACTTTCTTTCTTTTTTTTCTTTTGCTCATTTGTTTTGTTTCTTTAATTCCACATATGAGTAAAATCATATGGTATTTGTCTTTCTCTGAATGGCTTAGTTCACTTAGCATTATACTAAGCTCCACCCACATTGTTGCAAATGGCAAGATTTCATTCCTTTTTTTTTTTTTAATTTATTCAACATAGATTTATTGAGAGCTTGTTTTGTGGAAGCACTGCTGTAGGTGCTGGGATATATTAGTTACCAAAATATCACTTTTTTCATCTTCTTAAACAATAGAACATTGCCATGATTTTAATGACTAACTTTCCATATCAAAAAGGAAAAATCCCCTCTTGATACTCTGAGGTCCGGTTTAAATTCCCAAAAGGCAGGGTGCCTGGGTGGCTCAGTCGGTTAGGCAATCAACTTCAGCTCAAGTCATGGTCTCAAACTACTTTGTGAATTTGAGCCCCGCTGTCAGCACAGAGCCTGCTTTGGATCCTTTGTCTCCCTCTCTCTCTCATCCCCTCCCCTGCTCACACACTCTCTCTCTCTCAAAAATAAATAAACATTAAAAAAAATAATTTCCCAAAGGCAATTGTCAGGTTGCAGTTATGGTCCAGGCTAGCCAGCCCCTAAAGCTAACTTCTCGTGGAAAATCAACATGTTGAGTCTATTTAGAAAAAGTTGTGGGAACAAAGATATAGCATTTCCAATCCTCTGACTCATGAATACAAAATTATAACCTCTTTGTTTCTATTTGTAACCTCCAAAAAATCTAATCTAGCTAATTCCATAGAATTAGACATTACAAGATTTGAAATGGATATGTTTCAAGATTTTCCTGGTTGTTTCTAATTTAAATCCCATCAATTTAAGATTTCCCCAGCCCTACCTCCATCCTTCCTTGATTGCATCTAAATGTACAGGTACTTGTCTAATATCATGGCATTGAAAACAGGTGTCATGTTATAGATTGAGCTCTCTCTCTGCTGTATTCCTCTGAGATGTTTGATCCTCTAGTTTTCTGGTTATCTCCTGGTGCCACTATCAGGTTTTTTTTTAACCTAATACTTAATATTATTTTTTAAACTTTACATCCAAATTAGTTAGCATATAGTGTAATAATGATTTCAGGAGTAGATTCTTTAATGCTCCTTACCTTAATGCCCAACGCTCCTCCCACACCCCCTCTAGTATCCTTCTGTTTGTTCTGCATATTTATAAGTCTCTTATGCTTTGCCCCCCTCCCTGTTTTTATATTATTTTTGTTTCCCTTCCCTTATGTTCATCTGTTTTGTCTCTTAAAGTTCTCATATGAGTGAAGTCATATGATTTTTGTCCTTCTCTGACTAACTTCACTTAGCATAATATCCTCCAGTTCCATCCACATAGTTGCAAATGGCAAGATTTCATTCTTTTTGGTTGCCGAGTAATACTCCATTTTATACACACACACACACACACACACACACACACCACATCTTCTTTATCCATTCATCCATCGATGGACATTTGGGCTCTTTCCATACTTTGGCTATTGTTGATAGTGATGCTATAATCATTGGGGTGCATGTGTCCCTTCTATAACAGCATACCGGTATCCCCTGGATAAATACCTAGTAGTGCAATTGCTGGGTTGTAGGGTAGTTCTATTTTCAATTTTTTGAGGAACGTCCATATTATTTTCTAGAGTGGCTGCACCAGCTTGTATTCCCAAAGATTTCATTCTTTAAATGGCTGGGTATTATTCCAGTGTGTGTGTATGTGTGTATGTGGTGGTGGTGGGGTATCACATCATCTTTATCCACTCATCAGTTGATGGACACTCGGGCTGTTTCTATAATTTAGCTATTGTAGATAATCCATGTATCCCTTTGGATTAGTATTTCTGTACTCTCATTGTAAATACCTAGTAATGCCATTGCTAGATCATAGGGTAGTTCTATTTTTAACTTTTTGAGGGACCATTATACTGTTTTCCAGAATGGCTGTACCAGTATGCATTCCCATCAACAGTGCAAGAGGGTTCCCCTTTCTCCACATCCTTGCCAACATGTGTTGTTTCTTGTGTTGTTGGCAAAGCAAGAAACAGACTCTTAACTATCGAGAACAAACTGGTGGTTACCAGAGGGGAGGTGGGTGGGGGGATGGGTTAAATAAGCGATGGGGATTAAGGAGTACATTTGTGATGAGCACTGGGTGTTATATGGAAGTATTGAATCACTGTATTGTACATCTGAAACTAATATAACTCTATGTTAACTAACTGGACTTTATGTATTAAAAAAATTTTAATGTTAATTTATATGTGAGAGAGAGAGACAGAATGTAAGCAGGGGAGGGGGAGGGAGAGAGGGAAACATAGAACCCAAAGCAAGCTCCAGGGTCTGAGCTGTCAGGAGAGTCCCATGCGGGGCTCGGACCCACTAACCGTGAGATCCTGTTGACCTGAAGTCAGCTGCTTAACCGACTGAGCCACCCAGGTGCCCCAACTAACTGGACTTTAAATAAAAACTTAAGAAAAGATGACCAGAGGGGAAAAAAATAACCAGTGTACTTTGACAATCCTTGCCTCATCTCCCTTGCATATTTTAATCATACCAATGTGAAGTTAGCTTGAGAAATGTTTTTCAATTATTTATCACTTATATGGATTTTATGTCTCTTAAAAATATGACTGTTTTGAGAAATTTTATTTCTTTAAAAATGGTTTAAGTACTAATAAGAAAGCAAAGTAGTCATGCAATTTAAAATATTATGATAAATTTAAAAACCTTTTTTAATAACAGGAAGAAGTTTCTAGTAAAAGAGCTTAAAGTAAAAGAAGATTTGCTTCAAGTTCAGGTAACACACATACTCTATGCATCTAAATTTAATTAATAGTCACTCTGATAATTATATATGTAGATAACATTAGTATGTATGTGAACATGGGGATATATGTGTTTGTGTGTACATTTGTGTGTATGTTTGTATTAACGTTATTTCTAAGATATTTCTTGTTGGTTGACTTTCTCAGTAAGTTTTTTTCAGAAAATAAAATGGTAAATCCAAGCATGTTTACTGTCAAGTCAAGGTTATGAAAATTACCATGGTTTATTCAATTATAGACAATATCATGGAGGAAAGGTCATCTTGAGAGTCATAACAGTGATTTACTAGTTCTGTGACAATGGAAGTTCATTTAACCTACTTGAGCTTTATATTTTTGATTACTAAAATGGGTCAAACGGTATCTGTTTATCTTAAAAAGGCATATGAGGTGTAAGAATCAAATAAGAAAAAGCTCTTCAGTAATTGTGACTTATAGAGTCCACTCTTTTTTATGTGATCGAATGAAAGGTAAGTAACCTTTATTTCATCTTGGCTTTGGAATACTTTTTTTTTTTTTTTTTTTTTTTTTTTTTTTTTTTTTTGCTACAAGTTCACTTTTTTTTTTATTTTTTATAATAACTGTCAGAGGATCACACCACTCATTTTAGTGAGTGGCTGGAGTTGTGTCCCACAAGTGTATGTGAATAGTTCAAGAATCAAGTAACATAAATTTGGGAAGAAAATGAGAGAGCCACTTGAGATGTTGAATATAAAATGTTCAACTTTATGGTATTTGTTTTCTATTCCTGCATAACAAGTTACCATAAATTTTTCAGTTATTAAAATAACTTGTATTATCTCACAGTTTGAATGGGTTAGGAGGCTGAGCAGGCTTAGCTGTGTCTTATGCTCAAGGTCTCACTAAACTGCAATCAAGGTAATGGCTAGGGTTATGCTCAAGGTCTCACTAAACTGCAATCAAGGTAATGGCTAGGGTCTATTCTATTCTGTAAGTTGAGTTACTCTTCCAAGCTCAACTGGATGTGGCAAACTTCATTTCCTTCCTAGGACTGAGGCACTCAGCCATGAGACCTTTCCATAGGCAGTTGACATCACAGCAGCTTGCTTTTTCCTCAAGGCCGGTTTCTCTATTTTGCTGACAGTCTTATATAATGTAACATGATCATGAGAATGATATCTTGTCATGTTAGCTATATAATGCAGTCTAATAAAAGGAGTGGTATCTCATCACTTTGCTATATTCTATTGGCTAGAAACAAGTCACAGGTCCCACCCATAGTCAAAAGGAGTGGATTATTCAGAGCATAACCACAAGTATGGAGATCATGCTGGCCATATTAGAATTCTGCCTACCATACTTAACATTTTATTTTATACGGAACAGTATATTTAACAGTATATTTATTTGTGTATTTAAAATTATTATAATCCCATTATATAGTTAATATTTGAAGTTTTTAAGTTAGTGTTTTAGTTCATTTGGGTTGTGTTTTATTCCATTTGGACTGCTTTAACAAAATATCAGGGAATGGGTAGTTTATAAAAAACAGAAATTTGTTTCTCAGTTCTTGGGTCTGGAAGTTCAAGATCAGGGTGTCAACATGGTGGGGTGAGGGCTCTCTTCTGGGCTGCAGACTTCATGTTCTTTCTCATATGACAGGAAAGGCAAAGGCATTCTCTCAGTCCTCCTTTGTATGGACATTAATCTCATTCATGAGGGCCCCCATCCTAATACCAGCACATTGGGCATTAGGATTTCAACATGTGAATTTGCAGGTTGGGGGAGGAGGGAAGCGAGACACAAAAATTCAGACCATACTAGGCTTCTATAACAAAGAATGGGTGACTTAAATAACAAACATTTATTTCACACAGTTCTGGAGGCTGGGAAGTCTAAGATCAAAGCACCAGCAGACTTGTTGTCTGGTGAGAGCCCAATTCCTGGTTCATAGAAGGCCATTTTCTTGCTGTGTCTTCACATGGCAGAAAGGGCAAGGGAGGTGTCTGGAGCCTCTTTTATAAGGCCACTAAACCATTCATGAGGGTATTACCTTCATGCCTTAATCACTTCCCAAAGGCCCTACTTCCAAATGCCATCACATTGGAGATTAGGTTATAACACATGAATTTTGCGGGGGGACACAAACATTTAGTCTGTAGCAGCTAATGTCATTTAAAATTATTCTTTTCTGAATTTAAGGTCAAAATTTTCTATGTAAGTGTATTTTTTTTTCTGGATAAGGTCTATGGATTTAATGAGAATTTTAAAGGAATTTATCTTCTTTCTCCAAAATGCCTTTCTGTACTATCACTGATCTAGGCCATTTTACAGAGATCAATAGAAGCTAAAAAGTGACTAACTTGGGGTTAGAGAATAAATTAGTAGTGAAATCTGAACTGCAAATATGGCTCTCTGAACCCTACTTGGCATTTGCAGTTAGTGAAAATACATTTGGTTTTGCTTCCTCAGGCAGCATGGATAATAGAATCAGTTGGTATTATTATCCATCTGTTCAAGTAATTATAATGCTTTTAAAGTGTTTTACAAGTCATATAAAACTTTTAGTTTTTAAGTGAGCTAGCTTTTTGTTGTTTGTTGTGTACCTTTTAGAGGATCATTATTCCAATAATTATTCTAACGTATTTCAAGGACGTAGATAAAATAATCCATTTGGACCCAAGGTTGCCCTTACTTTGTACAAATTATGCCTTAAACAAGGGAGTGGGTTAAGGTACAAGTGGGTGTTGAAATCTAACCCATGGTTTGCCAAGTGCATACCCTTGAATAGTTGCATTTGCCTGAACAAAGGGTCCTTTTTCATCAAAGACATCATATAGACTAGCAGTCAGTAGCCAGAGTTGTACTTAAAAAAAAATCATGTTTAGATGAAGTGATAAAAATATTTTGTTATTCTATTAACGTGATTTTCATTTTATTTGTTAGAAAAATAGATTGTATTTACTCTAGGCAACTATCTACTAAGTGGGCAATTGGCAGGTTAATCATATGGATGAGGACAAACATATTTTTTAGAAAATAGAAATATTTTACATATTTGAATGTTTTGTGAGTCAAATCACATACAGCATATTTTGTTATGCTTAGCAGTAATTATTACAGTAGTCCTCCCTTATCCAGAGGGATACATTCCAAGACTGTCAGGGGATGCCTGAAACCATGGATGATACCAAATCCTGTATATCCTATATTTTTTCTTGTACATGCATACATATCTATGATAAAGCTTAATTTATAACTTAGGTGAAGTAAGAGATTAACAACAATTACTACTAATAAAAGAAAACAATTACAACAATTACTGCAGTAAAAGTTATATGAATGTGATTTCTCTCAAAATCTTATTGTACTGTACTCATCGTTTTTGTGATGAGATGATAAAATGCACACATGATGAAATAAAGTGAGGTGAAATTACGTAGGCATTGTAACATAGTAGGCTACTATTGATCTTGTGACTATAGTCAAGAGTATGGTTGACCATAGGTAACTGAGACTGAAGAAAGCAAAACTGTGGATAAGGGGAGACTACTGTATTCAATTTTTAGAAAAGGAAACGCTGAGATATTAAATAACTTGACCAGATTTGCAGAGTTCTAAGATGCACTCTGGTTGGACTGGATAGCCCAGTGATCCTGTCAGTGGGGCTAAAAAGTGTAAATTCAAGTGTGATCTCCCATTTACTGTTTCTTTTCAAGGATCATCAACTCTTAAAATTTATAGAAACTTCACTTAGTTTTTTCTATGTATAGTGTCATGAATTCTTTCTGTTAAAATTACATACTTTTAAGTATTAAGGATATTAAGTCCTTAATACAAATATAAACACTAATTATAATTACATTCCATCTGTACTTGAATAAATTGAATAAATTTCTTGCATATATCATAATATAATGTAATGTAGGAGGGACAGACTTGACAAAAAATATTGAATTTTTTTTAAATCTAAGGCTTCTAATTTTTTGTTAAGAAATTGAGATATAATTGACATATAACATTAATTTCAAAGCTGAAATTTTTAACACATAGTTGAGACATAATGTCCCTATTCCAACAATAATGTACTATAAAATGGGAATTATGATATAGTAATTGAGAATATGGGGTTAGAAAACAGGAAAGATCTCTATAGAATGTGTAGAGACAAAGGCTTGAGGGAACAAAGACTATTCAGAGAAATTCCAGTTCTTGAGTATGATAGGATTTTTGGATTGAGGAGAAGAGTAGTAGGATGCCTGATAGAGGCCATTTATAAATGGCATAATAATTTGTATTTTGAATAAGAAATGGGGACTTATTGAAGAATATTAAGAATGATCCATTTGGTATTTTTAATTTTTTTTTTAATTTTTTAAACGTTTATTTACTATTGAGATACAGAGAGACACAGAGCGTGAGCAGGGGAGGGGTAGAGAGAAGCAGAGACACAAAATCTGAAGCAGGCTCCAGGTTCTGAGCTGTCAGCACAGAGCCAGACGTGGGGCTTGAACTCACAAACTGCAAGATCATGACCTGAGCCGAAGTCGGTCGCCTAACCAACTGAGCCACCCAGGCGCCCCCCCATTTGGTATTTTTAATTAAGATTACTCTTCCAGTTTTATGAAAGATGAATTTTGGGATAGAGATTGGATTTTGCAGTCAGGAAGAATAATTAGAGAATTTTGGGAGTAATTTAACTCAGTGATAAACTAGTTAATTATGCTATATGAATTTATTAAGATGGAGTTGTAAATGATATTGTAATGTAAACTTCAGTGTTGCCAAATGGAAAGATTTAAATTTATAAAAATATTGATCCTTTCAAATTAATATAACAAAGGTAATAATGCATTTCTAATCAGAATTTAAAAAGGACTTTTTTTTTTTTTAATAAGGGAGACATAATTGGAAGATTATATAGAACTTAACTACAAAATCATCTAGGAGCCTTTTTAAACAAAAATGGTACTTCTTTGACCACTTTTCCAATTCCTTTTTAGATTATTGG